TTAATTAAATTATCTCCAAATAAACCTTCATTTCGGTGCAATACTAAAATTAGCTTGAATTCTTCATAACCTCTGAAATGATTTGAAGTTTGATATTTTAAAGTAAGTTTCGTTAAAATCGGGCCACAGGTTATCGAGTTAGCGCCGTTATTCAGGTCACTTTTATGGAAATTTTTAGCATGAGTAATTTTACATCACACTACCGTTCGCGCTCTTTACAAAACTTCTTTGTTCAAATCTATTTCCCTGTCAATGTTCCCATCTTCATTGAAGGGCGTAAGATGACAAAAAAAGATCTTGAAGAATTTCTCAATAATGTGCCTTGGTTATGGTAGGTAATTCGAGGAAAAATAAAGTGTTACTGTCTCTTATTTGTAGAAGGTTTAAGAAGAAAGACCACAGTATAATGAACTAATTCATCACAATACCTGAAAATTCTGACTTCACTTTGTTGAAAAATGAAATTGTTTTTCCTTTTACTCCCGATCAACAATCAAATATCTTTTCTTGAATTATGAATAACACGAATAGATTGAAATATTTAATTAGATTATCTCAAAATAAACCTTCATTTCGATGCAATATTGAAATTAGCTTGAAGTTTTCATAACCTCTGAATAGTGGGTGACCCAACGAGTCACAGATTGTCTAGTATTAAAATAATTTTGGGGCTTAACCATGTCATTACAGTCTGTACTGCCATTCTAGTTATGCTTTATCTGAAGACATTGAATCTTGACAATAGCCATGCAGTGTACTTTCCATTGCAAAATCCTCTATTGTAAAATTGTCATGTTCGAAGCGCACTATTCCTCCTTTTCATATTCCACCTAGTGTAAGGGTAAGATCATTTCTTAGTGCCATTTAAACAGCGCAGTCACGAAGAAATTCGTATACGCCATGTCCCGTGATTTGACCAGTATGTTTATATATATGAAATAGCATAAATATCTGCTTCATTATCCAGCTGTTTGAAGTAAGTGATGGTAGGATGGGAAGTATGAATAAAAGTGCTATCTTGTTGGCCTCATTTCCAGTGGTAGATAATTTTGGATTATGTTGCCTTGGACACGTGGACTACTTTTGCCACTGACTTTTGTATTCAGATTCTGACCTGGTACAAGACATCAAACATTTCTTATTTTTAAAGGTAAGAAATTAGAAAGCCTTTATACACAGGTTTAGTATGCAGTATTTGGGGCCTTATTATGTCATTACAGTCTGGCTGTTGCCATACTCTTTTCAAAGGCAATCAGTTTACGGTGGCATCATACTACTTATGCCATGCCTTAAAATGTCCAAACTAAAGTTATGATACAATCCATTCCAGCCATTTTATATCGGCTGTGGTTGTCACGTGACTTGCCGATTTAGTTGTTCGTTTTAATATAACCTACTCAACACTCTGTGTACTCCTAACGAACACAGAGAAATCCTTAACAATATCTTTGAAGTTAAATGGTACTCCGGGGTAGTGCATGAATTTTTATAATGTCAAGTTAGGTTGGTAACATCTAATTACTTATGTAAGAAATACATTAGCTGAAAGTAAAACTTAGCTGTGATCCAAATTGTTGTTCTGTAATTTGTATCATTAGATATTTCATTTTACAAATTCCAAAAAGATAGAGCAATCGTGGGAATTACGATGAAATAAAGGGAAAGTGTGATAAGTAATACTAATACTGTTAAACCTATCAATGGGAATACTTCCCGTACATCACTTTTTGAAGGAGACAAACCAATAAATTATCTTTAGTTAAATATCATTGCGTACAGAATGGATAGTATAACAAACAGAAAGTACACAAAATGAATAATAATATCCCCAGTTAAAATTATTTAGCATCTAATTAAATTCTAATTGATACCAGAAAAGAAAAATGTCAATTAGTTAAACGTAATCTGATAATGTTTATAGTGGCATTATTGAAATCTATATTGTTTATTTATACATAAGCGAGACCCATTTTTCAAAATTCAGAAAAATCTATTGTAGCAAATACAAATTCGGCTGCAAAGTTTGTTGAAGTGGTTTATTTTTTCAATTAGATCATGCACCCTGAACTGTTAAAAATCGATTTGAAGTTTTTCAATACGATGAAACTGGAACACAGATTCCCTTGGTGTTAATGTCTTGGTTCTCGTTTTTTTGACAAAACAAGCCTGTACCACATGTGCCTTCCATGTCCCATGGACCACCACAGCTCTCTCCTTCAGCCTATATACATTACACAAAAACCAGTAATTATAATATACCTTCAGATACATATGAATATACAAAAATTTCAACAAATTAAATTTCTGATAATTTTGAAACTTCTAAACTACTTTTTTTGTGCTTTATTGACTAGAAATGTTATGTGTAATAAGCACATGTAAAAAATACAGTCAGAGATTGTCTGCATATTCAGGTAAACATTTATCATGGTAAAGTTTTCTTTACAAAACAAAACTATAGGGGCTAACTCAACTTATGCATAATGACACAGATTT